AGAATCTTTGGGATGTGCTGGAGAAGGTCAGACTCTACCATCATCAATGCAACATCTTGGTGAAGAATTAATGCAACACTGGATGAAGTAAATCTGGTGATTTTGTAGAACCTTATCAAACAATGACACAGAAAATGTGTGCTGTGATCAAAGCTAAAAGTCCAACTAAATATTAGAGTGACCTTTTTTTTGGCCAGACAGTGTACTTATATTGTTTCTACACACATGCTATCTTAAACAGACAATGACCTCAATCGTAGAAAGGTGCACTTGTGGTAATAAATCTGACTTTTTCTACAACCTCATAGGAATGCTTTAAGTGTGAAAGCAGAGGTTTGAAAGAGAGCAGTTCAGAACATAAAAACAGAAACCCTGGATTTAAAAGTACAGTGTGACGGACACTTACATTTACATTTGTTTTCACACCAGAATGTACGCTCTTATTGTGAAGGTTAACTGTGAGGAAAAAGCTGGTTTTGGGGGAGGGAAGTTATTGTGCACTGATTTTGAAGATTCACTTGTTTTTCTTGTTGGAAGTACATCATTATTAAAAAGAGATTCAAATACATTTACATCTCCTTTTGGCTGACTTCCACAACAGTCCTGATTTATGACAGCAAATTATCTCCATACATTTATGTCACAGTTTTCATGTAGATTCTAACGGCAAACTTGTCTTTTTTTTTGTTTGTTTGTTTTTTTTTTTGCTCACTGCTCATCCTCTGCTGACATGGATACTCCTTACAGGTGAGTCCTCTCTTTCTGTTTTATTAAAAGTCTCTCCGGCCTCTTTAACATTTTAAAAATACCTTAGAAGATGATTATACTTTATACAGTATGTTCTACTGAAGGTTCTCAGCTGGTCCAAACCCTGACTTCAATATCTCATCATGAAGCTTTGCTCAGTTTTCACATGTCGCAGTCATGTTCTGAGGGATTCAGTCAAATTTTTTAATATAGTTCATGTGATATTACAAGATGACACGWTCAGAGTATGTGTTGTAAATGATTCGCAGCTACTACCACATCAAATGTTAATTTCGTGCATGTAAAACTGATGAAAAATAATCAWATTTGGATTTGTTGTGGTGGCCTTTTGAACTTCCTTGAGTCCAAATGCCAATCAGTGATAGATTTACATCAAGTGATAACTTTGTGAGTTTCATTACAGTTTGTCAAATAAAAACTGTCAAATAAAATTGAGATATTTGGTAACACACTCAGGCAAAATCATTAATGTCCACTTTTACCATTCAGGTGATGATTCTGTGACAAGGTTCTGTCTAATCTAAAGCAAAAGTGTAGGAGAGATGATGTGATAAGAGCTAATATATATTACAGTAACAACTGAAAACATCTTGTGATTTTCCTGAYTCAGACTGGAGAACAGGAAGACAGGCTGAGTAAAAGAAACCCATTAGCTGATACTGGATGCTGAGTGATACAGAGCAACCAAAGAGTGGAGGTGAAACCAGAGTAGATAAACTGAGTGATGAGATCATTTATTACATCTGCACCTGAAAAACTGACAGGAACTTCTACCAGACTGATTTACAGGAAGGAGCAAAACAAACAAGAGGAGAAGATGAAAATCCAACAATTTGCTGGGAATATGAGYAAATTATTTGATATTCAATTCAGTATAGTTTATTTACATACCGCCAARTACCAACAAATTTTGTCGCAGGTTGCTGTACAAAAACATTTACACAAAATAAAAAATTTACAGTTTGTGAAGTTTTATATCTATGTAGGAAAGTCAGTAGATTGCATTGAATCTCCACTTCGTTACATTGTAAGAGTTAGCTTAAGAAACCCAAGCCACCCTATAACTAACACGCTAACTATAAGATTTATCAAAAAGGAAAGTCTTCAGTCTAATCTTAAAAGTAGACAGAGTGTCAGCCTCACGGACAGAAACTGGAAGTTGGTTCCACAAGAGAGGAGCTTGATAACTGAAAGCTCTGCCTCCCATTCTACTTTTAGAAACTCCAGGAACCACAAGTAAACCTGCAGTCTGAGAGCAACCTTAAAGCTCTGTGGCACACAACCATTCATTAGAGACAGATTAAACAAATCCAATGGGGATTATAATTAGGGGGAACTACCTCTCTGAACAGTCTGGTCAGGATGGTCATAAACATTTGATGTGAACACAGTTCAAGATGTTTGCTACAGCTGATTCAGTTTAGGCCGGCGTCACACTACAAGCAAATCAGGCCGATTTTTGCCCTTCCGACAATCAAGGAAGTCCAGATTATCGTGATGGCTCTAAAGATAATCATAGCAGATATTCCCGCCATGGGTGGTGAGTTAAGAGTGATCTAGTCGGCTCAGAAGGACGTCGGGACCACTCCGACCTCAAATTGGGGATATTCAACATGTTAGATTTTTTGGACGATATCACAGTGTGTGTAGAGTTCACCCAAGCTCTCAGCCTGTGAATGAGACGTGTAGCCAATCAGAAAGTGAGGTGACGTAAACATGGAGGGGATTCCAAAATACAGAACACAAAAAACACTGTCATGACTCAGCAGAAAGTCTGCTGGATGTTAAAAGTCCTGTGGAATTGTTTTTCCTCTGGTAAAAATAGTCCACAAACAATCAACATTGTTTCTTCCTTGTTGCAAATGTTTATTTACTCTGAACTCACGTCTCTCTGGAGGTCACGTGAGATTTTTCCTCGGACATCTAAATTCTCACGAGATTTCAGTAAGTCTCGTGTGATTTAGTATCTGACATCTGAATCGTGAATGAAATATCTTTTCGTGTGTGGTGTGTTGTCTCTTGCTGTGTGACTGTACACCACACACTGTAGGACCAAACCTGGTAGATCCATGATTTATTATCCTCACGTGTGGGCTCTCTTAATCTTTGAAAATCATCCGGCTGTTTTAAAATCTTGTAGTGTGACTCAGCCTTTAGCCAACACAAAAATGACTATTACTCAGTCAGATTTAAATATTGAGGATATTCTCGTATGGTAGTAGCCGAGTCATCCTCCACACACTGTGAGATTTCACACAATATTGCAGGAAATTTATCAAATTGTCTTCAGACAACTTTGACCAAAGTGGCTATAGCAACATTACTTCTTWTCATAAATTGATGTTAGTCTAAAATCCTGGCATTAAAGGCAGTCGAGGCAGATGATCGCCTGTCCTGAGCTTGGTTCTGGTTCTGCTGGAGATTGTTGTGATATGGCAATATATGAATAAACTGAATTGAAACTGAACTGACTTAAAGGCAGTGTGGCATGTGCAATCTAGTTTTATTTAGATTTTAGTCTCACATCAGCCGTGAGTTGTAAAATGGGCTAAATGAAGACTGCAGAGTGCGATAAGTGGATCAGCTGAGGACTACAGAGCATTAATTTATTAACTTTCTGATTGTAATCAAGTTATAACACATTGTAATAAAGAAAATATTTCTAACATTATTAACAACCCTAAACTGTTGTCTGTCCATCCTTCTTTTTGTCTTTCTTTTGCTTTACGCCTGACTAACAGCAAAGATTCTGCAAAACAGTAAGTGTTTTATTCTGTTGGGTTATTGATAGTGCTTCTATCAATGCACATGTTTTCACAGATGGTATCTCAGTGTCTGAATCATTTCACCCACAGAGCTCTAACGATCTATAAAACTGAGGGTTCAACATGTTGTAACAACMCAGAAAACACTAAATTATCAGAGAAGCACTTCACTAAGCTGGGACTAATGGCGACTGGTTGGTGAACAGGAGGGAGTCTTCAACATGTCTCAAAACATTAGTGGCAGTTCTCAGTTTCCTTGTGTGAGTCTCAGAGGCTCGTTAATGTCTCAACCTTGTCTTGAATGATTCTGAATTTTGTTGTGAGCATCTCCAACCCATCTCAAGAGAACTGGAGCTGTTTTTGACACTTGCACAGAGCTCTTTCTGTGACAGAAAACATCCTGTCTAATGGTGTTTATATAAGATGACAAAGACACTTTATGATGATAAAAAATGACCAGTTTTGTAGGGGTAGCCATTGCCCACTGTCTGTTACAAGGTACATGTGCTATATGTTCCCCTGATTCCCATGCACCCCCCAGTACACCCACCCCTGTGTTCCCTGGTACAAAGCCTTCACTGTAATTCAGTATTTTTATATTTTCATTTGTTAAAAACAGCTTAGCTCAGTTTTTAAACCCCAGTTTCAGGTTCAACCCTCTGTAATAGAATATTGTGTTTATAACCTGTTCTTTTCTTCTCCTCCCACAGTGAAGCAGCCCCCAACTATAATTAAACAATCAGTGAAGGACTATATCGTCGACCCCAGAGATAACATCATCATTGAGTGTGAGGCCAAGGGCAACCCAGTGCCAACGTAAGCAGTTTACTCACAGCCCCACACAAAGCTCTCACAACACACTCTCTATCTGCTCTCTGCTTGTTACCAAGAGGAAATACAAAACCAGGTCAGAACCAGCTATCACATCCAACAGGCACAGTTATACAGTAGTTTATATATGTACGTATATAATTATGAAAGTGTTTTTTTTAGCCTTGACACAAATACTGTATAACGATTTTTGATTCACACTTTTAATCCAAGCCTATGGAGCAAACCAGAGTAACCCAGAGAAAACCCATATCTGCACAAAGTGTAAGAAAATTTAGTGTTCGTTAACTGAAATCGAGACGAAACCACAAACATGTTGAATAGATTAAAAAATYAAGAGAAGATGACCAWACAACACCAGTGACTGGAGTGAGRGGTGGTTCAATGCTGTTCGTTCAGTCATGAAACCCATGCTGAATGAAAACCGGAAGTCCCGGTCAATAAATACGTCTCTTTGGTGCCTGGTACGCCAGCTACTGGCCTACGGCTGAATCGCATACACTCAGACAAAAAAAACCTGTACTTATGTTTGATTAACAGTTTTTTATGTGTTGTGATGGTGTTTCGGGCATGTATCAAGACATAATAGTCAAACAATGGATTATAAACGTCAATACTTAAAAAGGAAACCAATGAAAATGGTGTAGTGCTTTTAAAATCAGTATCTAACATGACTAATAAATTTCTTCAAATCCCCCCTGTTCACATGACAATTAATCATGTGAACAAGAGCGTGCAAACTCTGCAAAGGGAGGCCCCAGCTGAGATTTGACCTTGTAGTTGTGTGGTGACAGTGCCAACCAGCTGCTCCACTGTGCAGCCTCCCAGTACAAAGCAGGAAGAAGAAATGACTCTGACCTCTCACTGAAGCAGGCGCAATTAGTAAAACATTCTTCTGCCGTTAGCACAAGTGCAATTGCTTTCAATGGAATTGTTAGCTTTATCACTACATATACATATGTACATATACATATTTACCAAACATATAGTTCTCAAACATAAAAATTCCAAAGGTTCAGGTAATTTTATACCTTCACTAAATCATACTTTTTAATTGAATTCAATTTATTCATAAAGAACTAAGTCAAAACAAATGTCACCTCATGGGCACTGTACAAAAAAAATAAGCAGATTGTGTTGAATCACTTCATCACAGTCTCTCATCCTGAGCAGCACATTGGTGACAGTGGAGAGGAAAATCTCCCTTTTTAACAGGAAGAAACCTACAGCAGAACCAGAACCAGAACCAGGCTCAGGACCGGCTGGGTTTGGGGACAGGAAAGAGACACAGACAAACACAGAAGGTCTGGTCCAGGTGTAATTTCCTCTGGAAGAGAGACAAAGAAATGAGTTATTGATAGAAGTAATTYTAACAAACATGTAGAGGACAGAGACTAAAGACAGCAGCAGAGTGAGGACATGTGGTCAGTTTGTCCTCCAGCAGCTGCTRCAGCAGGGAATGCTCTGTGGGCGGTACGGTGAGGGTTAATTGTTTTTTTTACTTGGTTAACAATGAAATGATGTCATGCACTTTTGTCCTCAGGTGCCTTGTAGGTTCCTGTAGTATTCTTCATCATAATGCCATTATGCATTGTGAGCGTACTGAAAGTGCAAAAAACAAACAACTTCTTGTCTGAGAAAGGATAAATGAAAGCTCCTGCTCTCTAATAAGCATAAAAACTCAGAATGTTACACATCTGATTGGCTCCCACCAGACAAATATCTTGCTGATAATTTGCAGCAGTTAGCCAACTAGCTCGTGTCCTCCTGTTACCTCTCAACAGTCTGTTCATGATTAGGGTCTGGATAATTATTTTTCACCTTCCTCATTTCCTGTATCTGGATCAGCACTATGATCAGGAGACTATGAAATGTTTCCTGAGTGACACACAGTTATGTTTTAAAGGATTTTTCATCTGAAAATTTCAACTCTGAACACTCAGTCTTTACACATGTGCACACATGCATTGCCTACATAAGTATTCATCCCCTTCTACCTATGTTCTACACTTTTATTGCTATTATTATAAATTAATCGTATTGACTAAAAATGTATCTTTTTGACAAAATAAAATCTTCAAATCTCCATCTTCGGTTGCCTGAAATTTCCCTGGGAGGGAGAGAAGTGTGATCCCATGGTTGTTAGAACACATTCTGTAGTTCCTCTGTAAAAATGGGATCCACTACCCCGGTCTGCCACAGGAGTTGTCTTAGTCCTCCATGTGATGTTGAAGACACATGTCAACCATGACAGCTCCACAAAATCCAGAGCCTTCAGTGTCTGAGGGTGGATCTTTTCCACCTTGGCGCCCAGTGACCTCTGCTATGGCAATGGACTCGTCTTCCCCCGAGTCTTRGGACRCTACCTCCTCAAAGGGACATGAAGGGTTGGATTCAGGAGATCTTCAAAGTGTTCCTTCCACCACCCAAGAATGTCCTCAGTCCTGGTCAGCAGTTCCCCACCCAAACCAAGTACAGCCTGGGACAGACAATCCTTTCCATTTGGAGTCACCTTCTCCWTGGTCTCGTTTATTTCCTCCCATGCCCAAGTTTTTGCATCTGCAACCATCAAAATTGTAGTCTTTGTGGTTACCCTGTACTTATCAGATGATTCAGAAGTCCTCCGGCAAAGTCAAGTCCTGAAGGCTGTCTTCTTCAGCTTGCTGGATTCCATCACTGCTGTTGTCCACCAGCGGGTCCTTTGGTTGCCACCACAACAGGGATCGATGACCTTCAGGCCACAGCTCCTGGAACCTGCATCTGCAATGGAGGCCATGAACATGGCCCTTCCAGACTCCATGTCTTCAACATCCCCGTGTGAGACACTGATGTGAGAAACTCTCCTGGAGGCGAGAGGTGAAGATTGCATAGACAGTGGGCTCCGCCAGGCGTTCCCAGTTCACCTTTACTATGGGTTTGGTTTTACCAGGTCTGTCCGGCAGTCTCCCATGCTACTGGATTCAACTCACCACCAGATGGTGAACAGTTGACATTTCTGCTCCTCGGGTCAGATGACACAAATACAAAATCATTGACCTCTGGTCTAAGGTGACCTGGTACCAAGTACAACTATGGACCACTCTATGCTCGAACACAGTGTTTGTTATGGACAACTTGTGCTTAGTACAGAAATCCAATAACAGAACACAATTTGGTTTCAGATCAGGGAGGCCGTCCACCCAACTTTTAAATGTCAAAAGGAAATCCCATTTCTACAAATTAATGCCAATTAGATAAAAACGTACTGTAAAAAAGTGACTGCAGCGATATTCCGCCTCTTTAATTTAACTCAGAGAAAGTGTGACTGAAAACTACAAGTCAGGATAGTTACAAAATAATTACTAAGACCCTAAACATACCAATAATTCTGTTAAATCCATCAACATGAATTGGTAAGAAGATGGGACACGTGTAAAGCAGGTCGTCCTGAGTGAATGTGATGGAGAGGTTGCCTAAACACCAACACATGTGACCTTTCCAAAGGTGTTACAAGCTTTACCAGGTGAGATGGGACAAAGTGAGCCACAACACCAGCTAACCAGGTTCTTCACTGGTCTAAGTTTTATGGGAGAGTGGCAAAGAGAAAACCATTGTTGAAAAACCAAAGTAAATCTTGACTAGAMTTTGACAAACTGAATGTGGAAGACTTCCTGGTCAAATGCTTCTCTGCAGCAGGCTCTGGAAGGCTTGTAGAGATAGACAGTAAAATTAATGCTGTGAAATATAGAAAAAATACTGGAGGACATTTGATGCTGTCTGCAGCAGAACTACAGTATGTTTTACACAATGACAATTCAAGTTAAGTTAATTGACCTGATTTCTTCTGGGATTTCAAGCCTGATCTGTACTTTTCCACAGCTTTGTCTCTGACCTTTTCACATTTCAAAGAGATGAATACTTTTGCYACCCACTGTAACTGCAGTAAAATGTTCCCACATTCAGATGGAGTAACCCCACCACCACACACTGAGTTACATCACTTGGAGCATGACCATTCATAACAGTGGTGCATTGTTCAGAGACAGAGTTCTTCGTCTCACACACACAAACACACACACACACACACACACACACACACACACACACACACNGCTCCTCAGCATGGCTTCATAAAAACACTGCAGGATTTCTCAAACATGATGAATGAGTCAGAGCAAGGCTTTGGACATGTTTTTATGAGAGGATAACATTATAACATGATATAAAACTCTAAAAAGTTGATTTTACATGATATTGACCCTTTAAAACAGAAGTGGAGCAGGAGGAGGTGGATTCTGATTGGCTGTTGTCACTTTTCTGAAAGTTAAATCGAGTAAAGAGGCTCAGCTGATCACCGTGATCGACCTGCAGTTTTTATCGATCAATAATCACTATCATATAACCAACCAGCCCTCAGGAATCCTACAAATGTTTAAGGAAGTGTGTGTATTTTAAAATGAATAAAGTTTGTTTTGACGATCAGTCACAGAAGCTGTGACAAAGGTTCTGTCAGAACTGACAGTTTACTGTGTCCATGCAGGGCCCACCTGGACCATCGGGACCAACAGGGACCCCTGGAGCTGATGGTGCAAAGGTACACCTTACTCTTCAGACTTATCACTTCAACAAAATCAAATTGTTTTTGTCTACTAAGTTTCTGCATTGTTTTTCTTACACGCACACCCTTTGTTTGTGAGGTGTTGAGCTGTACTTTTCTCCTTCAGAAATTATATATAATTCCTTTAATCCTTTATCATTTCTTACCTTAGGGAGTAAAAGGGGATCAAGGACCTCCTGGAAGCCCTGGAGAAAAAGGAGACCTGGTAGATTTAGCGTTATTTGAGTCCTTGCATCCTTTTCTTGTCTCTGCACAGTGTGTGTTGTTTAATAAACAAACATTGTTACCTGTATTACAGGGTCATCAAGGACCCCCTGGTCGCCCGGGTCCTCCTGGATTGATGGGTGCAGCTGTACGTAGCAGTAATATTTTTACTCTTCTGAGGCTTCAAGTTGATTAGACCCAGGACAGCATAATAAACTTTACATGATGAAAACAAAGCAACCATTGCAAACCCAGTCCTTGATTGGAAAAAAAACAGCTAAAATAAAATTAAACAGCCCCCCCCCCCCACACACACACACACACACACACACACACACACACACACACACACACACACACACACACAAATACACACCCACACACATACACAAACACAATGCCAAGAGTGTGCGAAGCAGTAATCAAAGCAAAAGGTGTCTACTTTGAAGAACCTAGAATATACAGTAAAACATATTTTCAGTTGTTTCACACTTTTTTGTTCAGTATTTAATTCCACATGTGTTAYCAGTTTTGATGCCTTCAGTGTGAATCTACAATTTTCATAGCCATGAAAATAAAGACAACTCTGAATGAGAAGGCATGTCCAAACCTTTGGTCTGTACTGTATATCAACACAATTCTTATTCAGGAGCCCAAACTTATAGAATATCAAAAACTTCTGAAAATAGGTCTCGTTTAAACAGTTACCGAAATAAATGTGTGGCTGAATTACGCAAAGTCAAACAACAATATTTTAAAAATCAAATTATTTCAGCCAGTAAGAATCCAAAAATATTATGAGAAAAGATTAAGTCAGTGACAGGTGAAAGTAACAATAAAACYTTTAATAACAATTCACAGATCTCAGTAGATGGACTTCTTGTTTCTGATCATGAATATTTTATTTCTTCAGTAAGGACATCATTACCTGGACAAGCTAATAGTTTAAAGTTATTTAAATATCCTGACACTTC